TACAGACTTCTGAGTTTCTTAATGACATTAATTGTCCTGCTGACCCAGGAGAAAAGGTTAGTTACTCAAAGTGAGCACTGGGGAAAAGGAGGGCATGTGGAAAGAGCCAAGGGTTTGTAATGGTTACAGAAAATTAGAAAGCAGATGACCAAAGATAAGTAGATGATGGTACCATTAAGTGTGCGTGCACACACACCCTGCATAATACTGGGTTGGCCAAAAAAGTTGTTTGGGTTTTTCCATAACTTATTAAGAAAAACCCGAATGAACTTTCCGGCCAACTCAGTATTTTGAAATGCACTTATAAAAACTGTTCTTAAAGCTAGATGACACACTTCTGCTGCTGGTAAGATGTGGTAACATGAACAAGAATTACTTTCCTCTCTGAAATAACCAAAAGACAAACAAGGTGATGATATGATATGATACAATGATTTTTAAAACACTGAACACAATGTGATCCTTGAGAAACAGGAAACAAATGAGTGGACCCTGTGACTGCTGGCAGTTGTTTCCAGGCTATGGCACAGGAAACGGGAAGCGGTCTTTCTCCCTCTATGGTCCTCAAGACCAGGAAGACGATGAGAATTCACAAGACAACATGCCAGAGAGAGCTGCACAAAAAGAGAACTGCAAAGATCTGCAAATGATTCACCCTGAGTATTCAGCAAAACACTAATTAATATATGTGAGAGAAAACTTCCAGAGTTTGGGGGGTAAAAACAAGCATAAAGATTAAAGAGAATATACCTGTTCCTCATGCAAGACTGGGAAGAGTGCCTGTTCCCTAAAGCCAAACTAAAAAACCAAAACTATTTGGTAGAGTAATACGAATCTAGCCTCAGCAGTGGGAAATAATTAGCTCCAAAGTAAACACTGCTCAGGTTTTGCCAATAAATCTAAACAGCAAGACTCAAAGGGATCAAAATTATTTTTCAGCAAATTGACAGTATCCGAGAGTAAGAATATTGACTGGAAGACAAAAGTATCTAGTACCAAACAAGGTAAAATTCATGTCTGATACTCAATCACAAATTATTAGATATACAAAAAAGTAGAGAAAAATATCAGTGATGAGAAGAAAATTCAATCAACCAGACCCAGAAATGATACATGACTGAATTATAGACAAGGGCATTTCCATTCCAGTTCCACTCCCTAGAGCTGAAAATGAGCAGAAGCATGTGGGGCTCCAAAGCACAGAAGACTTTGGGTCCCCCATTCTGTGTTTGTAGGGAGAAGACTCCTGCTTTCCTGACCTTCCCTGAGTTCCAGAGGGTGGATTTGAACAGTGGCTAATCAGGGAAGGGAGAAGATGCAGAGACAAAGGAGGAGCTTCCAAGAAACAAATATGCAGATGTGAAGCGTGGTCTGCTTTAAAGCATACATGTAACAGTATCTTTGAACTCTTCTACAGAACTAAAACACCCCAAAAATGGAAGATGAACTACTTGATGAAGCATTCTTCATTGCAGAAAGGTCACAATTTGATAACCTCAAGAACCACAGCTTAGGACTTCCCTGGTGGTCCAGTGGTTAAGAATCCACCTGCCAATGCTGGGGACATTCCTGGTCGGGGAAGATTCCACATGTCGCAGAATAGCTAAACATGCCCACCACACATGTAACAGTGAAGACCCAGTGCAACCAGAAAATAAACAACAACAAAAAAAGAACCATATCTTATGGGGAGACCACCTGAGACCATCAGATTAAAGGAACCCAGGCCCTGCACATACCCTGACCCTTATTAGCAACCCTGCTCTTGAACCACTGCTATAAAAACTCCTCACCAAATCCCTCCAGGTTGGGACACAAAGTTTTTCAGGGTATGAGCCCACTGTGTTGCCCTGTGTCTGACAAAGTAACAATGCTATTCTTTTCTACTTCACCCAAAATTCTGTTTCTGAAATTTGATTGAGTACAAGTGTACAGAGGCTGAATTTTCAGCATCAGAGTTACACTCTCTTAGTATTTGTGTGATTTTTGAGATGAAGCTTACCTTATACAGTTTCTACTAAAAATGTGATAAGTAAACCAATTATAAACAATACTTGAAGATGTAATGATTAAAGGTTTGAAATTTTTCAATAATGCTAAGGTTATTTCTTTGGTACATTCCTTCCATACTGAGAGAAAAAGTATTATAAATGAAATTTAAATTTACTCATTAAATAAAGAAAGTAAAATACAGTCTACAAAAACTCCAAGGTTTCTGTAAAGGCTTTAAAGTGATAAAGTACATTTTCAGTGAATGTTTGAAAGCAGAAATATTGTAATAGCCATAAATGAGTTTTTACATTAGCCTTGTTTTATTCTGAAAACCAAGATTTTAACAAATTTTGTAATTATTATTACATATTTTGTAGGTGAATTTACATCTCTGTGTTTCTATACTGGTATGTAAGTATTAATAAATGTATTTCTTTAAACATAATTGGTTTACAGTGTGAAAGTATTAAAGAAAATTTCATGATGATATTTGGTTTCATGAAAAACAGTTTCATGCATGGAGTAAGAAACTAGAATAACCAAAATTATTAAGTAAATAAATAAAGATAATTTCTACTTTAGTGACTGAAAATCATATGTTATTTATACAAAAATGGATGTGCATTAAAAAAAATAAAACAAAGCAGAGCCAAAAACAGTATTACACGTATATAACCACATGACATTCAACTAAAGTGCCAGGAGGTTCAACAGGCAAAGCGTAGCATCACAGATCCACATGCAAAGAAATAAACCTTGACCATGATCTCACACCATACACAAAAATTAACTCCAAACGAATCTAGTAAAACTTCTACAATAAAATACAGGAGGAAGTACTTACAGCCTTAGGTTAGACAAAGATTTCTTAGGTCAAAAACTCCTCCAAAAGTTATAAAAGAAAAACTGATGAGTTATACTGGTTCAAAAATAACTTTTGTCATTTGGAAGATACCGTTAAGAAAATGAAAAGGCAAACACAGACAGACGTATTTGCAAAACAAGCATCTGAGGAACGACTTTGAATCCAGATATATGAAATTATCTTAAGACTTAATAATTAGAAGACAGTGAAAGTGAAAGTGTTAGTCACAGTTGAGTCCAACTCTTTGTGACCCCATGGACTGTAGCCCACCAGGTTACTCTGTCCATGGAATTCTCCAGGCAAGAGTACTGGAGTGGGTTGCCATTTCCTCTTCCAAGGGATGTTTCCAACCCAGGGATCGAACCCGGGTCTCCTAAATTGCAGGCAGATTATTTATCACTGTGCCGCCAGGGAAGTATGAAGAAGAGGACAAGCAATAAGCTAAAAAATTAAATAAAGCTAAGAGGTCAATACTTCTTAGAAACACTTGATTAATAAAGATATACAGATGGAAAATAAATGTGAAAATACAGTTATCACTAGTCTTTAGGCCAGTGGAAGTTAAAACCACAATGAAAATCTACTAAACACAAGAATGGCTAAAAGTAAAATAACAATATCATGGATTGATAAAAAGGTAGAGGAATTATCATACATTGTTGATGTGAATGAAAAACCATACATTCATCTTAGGAAACAGTTCAGCAGTTATTTGAAGGTAAACATATACGTATCAAATGATAAGGAAATTCCACTCAACTATTTACCCAAGAGAATGAAGACATATGTCTACAAAAGATCTGTATGTAAAGGATTACAGTGGCTTTACTCATGATAACCTCAAACTTTAATAACCCAGTTATCCCCCAACTGGGGAATAGACAAATAGCATATATCTATACAATGAAAGTTTAGTCAGAAATAAAAATAGACTCCTGGAACATGCAACAACATGAATAAATCTTAAAATAACTATACACTGCTATGAAAGTTCTCATACTGCATGAGTCCAGTTTTATCAAAATCTATGAAAAGCTAACTTATGCTGACAGAAAACTTACCATTAGCTGCCAGGAGCCAAGAGGCAGGAATAAGAAATTGACTATGAGTACATGAAGGACATTTGGGGGTGATGAAAATGTTCTATGTCTTATAATGGCAATTATAAGGATGTAAACACTTGTCAAAAACTCATAGAATCCTCTGCTCAAAGTTGGTAAATACATGTAAATTACATATTAAAAAAGATGACCAAACAGATACATAGAGCAGAGAAAAGCACAGTATTCTCAGAGTAGAGTGATTTGTAGAAGAAAATGGAGAGAATCAGTCCTAAATAAACCCCCTGCAAGTTCTCTGCAGCCACACAGGAATGAAGACCTCTGTGGTCACTACCTTGCTGCACAGCTCGTTACAAACAGAAGCAGGAAAGCAGGTCCTGTGGTTACTCACCCAGGACTGCCAGGGACTCAGTAATGCTTCAATATACGAGTACTTTCAGTAAATGTTTGTGGATAAAAATTTAACTACACACACACTCTCAAAAGTCTTTTAAAAAGTCTCCATACATTTAATGCTCTTACATTCAGTGCTTAGACAAAAACACTTCCATGATATTAGCTAGTTTGTGTATTTCACTGTTTAGAGCTACCTTCTGCCATTATTTCATGACAAAAACAAACAGAGAAAATTTTTGGATCATATTTGGTTAAGTAACTTTTAACTCATGATGTGGGCATTTCACCTGTTCATTCATCAAATCTTCATTTTTACAAAAAGAAAAAAGTCTCTGTGTCTTAATATCTCTTAGTTAGGAACTAAAATACTCTAATTAAAATACTCTACAAGCATTAATAAAATTCTTCAACATCAAACATCCTTTCACACAGAAAAAATTCAGAGTTCCCCTGATTGAATTATGGAGAATTAACTTACTCTTCTGAAGAATTTCATTTCATATCCTAAGTATTTTAAAAGTAAAGAAAAGAACTTATTGCTTATATAACTGAACATACAGGTAACATAAGAAGTGACAATTACTCGGGAGTTTCTGAAAGATATGTTCTATAAACCAACAGATCAAAACTTCTTGAAGTAACTGAAAAACTTCGAAATCAATTTGCAAAATAAATACTATACTTACAATTTGTTGCTGTCTGAAATTGAGAAGAAAGTGCTTGAGTAACTGAATTCCAAAATGTATATAAAATTTCAGCCTGTCCATCCTGTGGCCCAAAAAAAGGGGGGTGTATTATTTTTTTTAATGATAATGGATAAGATATAGCATTGACAATGTATCAAAAATGTATTTAAGTCAAAATTCCTAAGACATCTATCAAACAATGAAATTATTAAGTAACTAAGTAGAAATGTATAGATGATTCAAATCACGTCTCATGTTCAGATAATCAGTCACCATCCTTCTCTGCTACTTACCAGCGGCGTGAGCTTGAGCAAGTTGCTAAATCATTGTATGACTATGGTAACAGTACCTACAGTGCAGAATTATTAAGAGGATTTTTAAAGTTTTTAAAAGTGAACTCTTGGGACAGTTCTTAACATGTAATAAACCCTCAGTGAATGTTATTACTATAATAATTATCATCATTTCATATACAAAAGGCAATCTGTGTGACCATAAGAAAATGAAGAACAAGCATACTTAGATTAAGACTGACCAGCAGGATATAATTCACCAACTACAAAAGAGAACTGCCTGAATAATAGATATAATTTTGTGTTTTCTTTTTTAAGTCACAGAAATTACTATTTGGGATAAGAAATGGCAACCCACCCCAGTATTCTTGCTGGGAAAATTTCATGGACAGAGGAGCCTGGCAGGTTACAGTCCATGGGGTCACAAGAGTAGGATACAACTGAGTACAAATTACTATTACTCAGCTTAGCAGGATACTATCATCCAACTGTTAATACATATTTTAGAAAGTAATTAGTACAAGAAAGGATAAACATTAGTTTAGTATCATTTGTTAAAATAAGAAAGCATTTTAATACTGTTAAAGTAAAATGGCACTTCTAGAAATTTTAACAAGTCCTTTAATGTACTTCTACATGTGTGGTATATAATATCAAATTGTTGATATTCTATTTTTGAAGTACAAAAATGCCAATTTCACATGGCTCACTTTAATCACATAAATATGTACAATGCTCAAATATGACTACTCTCATAAAAAAGAATAATTAAGAAATTCATTAATTCTGTTTTAGTTTTGCACTTGCAAAAATGAAATTCTACTTTTCAAGGTTATAAAGAAAATGAACTATGAAAAATACTGATTTCTCACTTCTATATCTACATACATATCTATTTTCCTTGTTATTTGTTTCTTTAGTAAGTCTTTTGTTTTGATTTCAAATGGGTATTGTGTATCACAAAAAGAGGAAAATCAAATAATTGCTAGTTTCTTACTTAGGGATCAGAAAGCAGATTCAGATCACCAAGATTTTATGCAATATGTATACTGTATGTGTGCATGCTCAGTTGCTCAGTGGTGTCCGACTCTGCAACCCTATGGACTGCAGTCTGCCAGGCTCCTCTGTCCCTGGAATGTTCCAGGCAAGAATACTGAAATGGGTTGCCATTTCCTCCTCCAGGGGATCTTCCGGACCCAGAGATCGAACCTGCATCTCCTATGTCTCCTGCATTGGTAAGCAGATGCACTGTATATCATATAGCCTAAAATGGATGTTTTTCCAACAAGGACCTATAATAGCACAAGGAATTACATTCAATATCTTGCAATAAATTCTAATGGAAAAGAATATGCAGAAGTATCTATATATACTATATATAAAACTATAACTGAATCACTTTGCTGTACTGTAACTAATGCAACATTGTAACTGATTATAAACTTTAGTTTAAAAAACTTTTTCATCAAATTAAAGAATCACTATAATACATCACATTAACAAAATGAAGGACAAAACCACATGATCATCTCAACTGATAGACAAAATAGCATTAGACAAAGTTCAACACACTTTCATGATAAAACCACTCAACAAGCTAGGAAATTATCACAACATAATAAAGGCCATATATGACAAGTCCACAGGTAATATCATAATAGTAAAAATCTGAAAGCTAAGATGCAGAACATTTAATGACTATATATATATATATATATACACACACACATACACGTGCATATATATATATGCTTCTATACACACACACACACACACTTAAATGAAAATAGGTCAATCTTGCTTAAGCATACAAATACAAAATTCTCAGGTATAATAGTAAATTGACTTTGTTTTTTGAATTATCTACCTAAACAAGTTGGATTTATGTCAGCAATATGACATATGTATGACATATTGTATGTCATATAAATATGACAAAATATATTAATGCAATAGCCCAAAGTTTCCAATAAGGAAATCTACAGAATCATGTAGCTGAGTGAATAAAAGGCAATTAATACCCTTCATTTAAATTAACAAAATACTTACTATCCAGCTCTTATTTTTTTTTTAAATTCATAGAAAACAATGCATAAAATGATTCCTGTCCTTTTAAAATTGTGGTTAAAAAACACAAAATTTACCATCTTAGCCACTTTGAGGATGACAGTAGTGTTAATTCCATGGACACTGTTGTGCAACAGATCTCTGCAACTTTGAGATCTTGCAAATCTGAAACTATATAACAAATGAACTACTCCCATTTTCATTCTCCCCTAGCCCCTGCAAACTACCTATCTACTTTCGAAGAATGTAACTATACAAAATATGTGTGTTTTTTGTGATCAGACTGTTACATTTAGCATGATGTAAAGTTTCAACCATCTTTAGCATCTTGTTTAAGACTAAACAATATTCCATTGTATGTATGTACACATGTATGTCTGTGCCTGTAACATATTTTCTTTTTTTTTTAAGCAACATTTCTTTTTTTTAAATTTATTTGTTTTAATTGTAGGCTAATTACCTTACAATATTGTAGTGGTTTTTGCCATACATTCACATGAATCAGCCATGGGGGTACATGTGTTCCCCATCCTGAACCCCCCTCCCACCTCGCTCCCCATCCCATCCCTCAGGGTCATCCCAGTGCACCATCCCTGAGCACCCTGTCTCATGCATCAAACCTGGACTGCCAATCTGTTTCACATATGATAATATATATGTTTCAGTGCTATTCTCTCAAATCATTCCACCCTTGCCTTCTCCCACAAAGTCCAAAAGACTGGTCTATACATCTGTGTCTCTTTTGCTGTCTCGCATATAGGGTCATTGTTACCATCTTTCTAAATTCCATATATATGTGTTAGTATACTGTATTGGTATTTTTCTTTCTGACCTTCTTCACTCTGTATAATAGACTCCAGTTTCATCCAGCTCATTAGAACTGATTCAAATATATTCTTTTTAATGGCTGAGTAATATTCCATTGTGTATATGTACCACACCTTTCTTATCTGCTTGTCTGACGATGGACATCTGGGTTGCTTCCATGTCCTGGCTATTATAAACAGTGCTGTGATGAACACTGGGGTAGACGTGTCTCTTTCAATTCTGGTTTCCTCAGTATGTATGCCCAGCAGTGGGAATGCTGGGTCATCAGTTCAGTTCAGTCGCTCAGTAGTGTCCGACTCTTTGCGACCACCATGTCCATCACCAACTCCTGGAGTCCACCCAAACACCATGTCCATTGAGTCAGTGATGCCATCCAACCATCTCATCTTCTGTCTTCACCTTCTCCTCCTGCCCTCAATCTTTCCCAGCATCAGGGTCTTTTCCAGTGAGTCGGCTCTTCGCATCAGGTGGGCAAAGTATTGGAGTTTCAGCTTCAGCATCAGTCCTTCCAATGAACATCCAGGACTGATCTTCTTTAGGATGGACTGGTTGGATCTCCTTGCAGTCCAAGGGACTCTCAAGAGTCTTCTCCAACAACACAGTACAAATGCATCAATTTTTCAGTGCTCAGCTTTCTTTACAATCCACCTCTCACATCCATACATGACCACTGGAAAAATCATAGCCTTTACTAGACAGACCTTTGTTGACAAAGCAATGTCTCTGCTTTTTAATATGTTGTCTAGGTTGGTCATAAATTTCCTTCCAAGGAGCAAGCGCCTTTTAATTTCATGGCTACAGTCACTATCTGCAGTGATTTTGGAGCCCAGGAAAATAAAGTCAGCCACTGTTTCCCCATCTATTTGCCATGAAGTGATGGGACCAGATGCCATGATCTTAGTTTTCTGAATGTTGAGCTTTAAGCCAACTTTTTCACTCTCCTCTTTCACTTTCATCAAGAGGNTTTTCCAGTCCTGTGGCCACTGCTGAGTTTTCCAAACGTGCTGGCATTATGAGTGCAGCACTTTCACAGCATCATCTTTCAGTATTTGAAATACTTCAACTGGAATTCCATCACCTCCACTAGCTTTGTTCGTAGTGATGCTTTCTAATTCCCACTTGACTTCACACTCCAGGATGTCTGGCTCTAGGTGAGTGATCACACCATTGTGATTATCTGGGTCATGAAGATCTTTTTGTACAGTTCTTCTGTGTATTCTTGCCACCTCTTCTTAATATCTTCTGCTTCTGTTAGGTCCATTTATGTCCTTTATTGAGCCCATCTTTTTTTTTTTTTTTTGCCCACCTTTGCATGAAATGTTCCCTTGGTACCTCTAATTTTCTTGATTTCACATGGCAGTTCTATTTCCAGTTTTTTAAGGAATCTCCATACTGTTCTCCATGGTGGTTGCACTAGTTTGCATTCCCACCAACAGTGTAAGAGGGTTCCCTTTTCTTCACACCCTCTCCAGCATTTATTGTTTGTAGACCTTTGGTTAGCAGCCATTCTGACCGCTTGAGATGGTACCTCATCGTGTTTTTGATTTGCATTTCTCTGATAATGAGTGGAGTTGAGCATCTTTTCATGTGTTTGTTAGCCATCTGTATGTATTCTTTGGAGAAATGTCTGTTTAGTTCTTTGGCCCATTTTTTGATTGGGTCATTTATTTTTCTGTAATCGAGCTGCAGGAGATGCTTGTATATTTTGGAGATTAATTATTTTTCAGTTGCTTCATTTGCTATTATTTCCTCCTGATCTGAAGGCTGTCTTTTCACCTTGCTTATAGTTTCCTTTGTTGTGCAAAAGCTTTTAAGTTTAATTAAGTCCCATTTGCTTATTTTTGCTTTTATTTCCATTACTCTGGGAGGTGGGTCATAGAGGATCTTGCTGTGA